ATATACTTTTATCTTCATAGTATTACTAGGATTAGTCTCTCCAATTACGTTTGCATAGTCTCACAAATGTGTAAACTTTTTTTTAAGTTGCTAACCACCTTATCAACCATACTTTTCTTTTGCTCTTTTTACTATGCTCAATTTTACACATGTTCTATATTCATTCTTAATAGTTTTCATATATCTCTAAATTCTTCATAAAAAGATTCTTCATAAACTTTTCAATATAAATTTAACCAAAATAGATTGGGTTGGATTGCAATCATGATTACAATTGTGAGTCTTCGCTTGAAATGATTACAGCTTTTTATCAAAAGATGCAAACATCAGCCAAGGACAATTAGGTGCAACATACTTACTTTTTATATAATTTCTTATGATTTTTTGTCCAAATTATAGCCATGTTTGTATGAATAGCTAATAATGACACAATATGTTTTAAATTCTCAAACATGTCTAATTCTATATAAGGGATACCTATAGTTTTAGACATTTAGTTTTGTCTAAGCAAAATTCAATTATTTATGAAGCTCTTAAAATTCAACTCAGCTCAAATCCAATATTTCTTCAATTTTGACAAGTTTTAAAAATATTTGAACCAATTTAACTTAAATGTCTCAAGGTCAAAATAGGTCAAACAAAGTCAAACTTGATAAAAAAATGGTTAAAAATAGTTAAAATGGAGGAAACTCAGGTCAATTCTCAAAATTCACAATCAAATTGAAAATGAATGTTGTTTTAAATTACAATTTGTGATTTTTTTAAAAAACATTAAAAAGTTTTATCGCACTTCGAATAATATAAAATTATTAAAATGCCCTTAAAGGTGTTTTTATAATTTGACCTTTTTAATGTTGAATTTTTATGAAAACTTTCAAATCATAATTGAATATTATTTTATGATGTTGATGTATTAAAACTCTTGATTGTACCTTGAGAGGTACAAAACTACTAAAATACTTTTAAAGATATTTTCATAATTTGATCATTCTAAGGTTGTTATTTCACGAAAAATTTTAGATCATAATTTAATATTATTTTATAATTTTTAAAACATTGAAAACCTTGATCATACCTCGAAATGTGTAAAATCACTAAAATACCCTCTAAAGGTATTTTGTAATTTGACTTTCTCGAAGTTGATTTTTTTTCAAAACTTTTTAGATTATGCTTTTAAAATATTTGATATTTTTGGTGCATTCAATACTATAGCAGTACCTCAAAATGTGTGAAATTATAAAAATACATTTTATGGGTAATTTCGTAATTTGATTTTTTCATGGTCAGATTTTGACAAAAAGTTTTAAATCTTAATTTTATATTATTTTATGATTTTTGATACTTTAAAATCATAAAAATGAATAAGGGAGCATTGTTTTCTAAGAAAATAGCCTAGAAACCGAAAATTTTGTAATAAAGGTAAAATAATCTTTTCATTTGACTCCATTAGCATTAAAAATCTCATCTTTGGTAGTATGCATTCTAAACCGTAGGATGACATTAGGAAGCTTGATCTAATGGTAAAAACTTACTCTTTGTAAAGAAAACAAGGGAGCAACTTAGATCATTTGGTATATTTGTGACTTAAGGGTTAAAATTCAATTGTGGGAGATATTTTCATATATTTTCTTAGGTGAAAATTGAAGAGATATTTTACAGAAGAGGAAAGGAAAAAAAAAAAGCAAAAGAAAAAAAGTGAAAAAAAGAAAGAAATAAAAATTGTAAAGAGCTTGGAAGTAGGTATAATTATTTTCTTTTTTTTGTTCTTCTTATTTACATTCCTTAACATTCATCACATCTTTCATGCCATCTAGTTTTTAATTTTTAATTTTATTTTTTAGAAACCTATAGTTCTTCATCTTTTTCAATCAAAGTTAGATCAAATTTCATCCAATTAGTTCGTAATTGGGTTTGAAGTTAAAAAACCAAGCAAAAAAAAAAAAATTTAATCCACCATTTTTTGCCTTTGGAGGTTTGGCCAACCTTGCTTCACCAAGGCCAAACCTCTTTTGGTCTTTTATCGATGTTTTTCTTACTTTTAAAAGTTGTTTTGTGGTGATTAAATTATAAGTTCATATATTAATCCACCATTTTTGGCCTTTGGAGGTTCGACCAACCTTGCTTCACCATGGCCAAACCTCTTTTGGTCTTTTATCGATGTTTTTCTTGCTTTTAAAAGTTGTTTTGTGGTGATTAAATTATAAGTTCATATATATATATATATATTGTTTGGCTTTGAATGTTTGGCTCCATGATTTATTTACTACTTAGTTCATTATATGTTTGATAAAACTTTTTTCATAATGTAAATGCATTCAAGTGATGAATATTGTGATGTTCAATGCATACTTGAGTGAAAAGGATTCAAAATATATTTGTTAGAATCCTTGAAAGGTTTGATTGAGCCATTTCCATGCTTGGCCAAAACCTATATCTTTGTTCTTAGTTAAATGTTAGTTGATTTATAAATACTTAGCTCATGAAATCATGGATATAATAAAAAACAAAGTACAATAATGCTATTGGTAAAAACATAAATATTTTATGCATGTGACATGTGCATGACAAGAGAACAAATTAATTACAAATTTAGGCATATATAAAACTAACTTACAAACAAGATGTGATGTGAAAACATGTGAAAAATATATCAAACACTAAAACTTTTCAAAACTTGAAAACATGTTTCACCATTTTTTTCCTTTGAAAACTCATAAAAATTACCAAAATAAGCTACCAAAACAACATTTTACCTAAACCCTAAACCTAAAAACCTAAATCCTAAACCCTAAAATATATACCTGAAATCAACCTTAAACCCCAAACCTAAGCTTTAAAGTCATCAAGATCTTAGTTAACTATAAAGAGACTCTCGATAGTTATTATTTACGTGAGTTGTTATCTTAATCTTTGTAGGGCAATTTGAAAATATTTAAATTAGAGATATTTTCAAAGCTCTACCTAAATATAAGTGAGTGAATAAAGTGTTTTGATATTTAAAATGTTTTTACTTTGATCTAAAAATAAAATATTTTATTTTTAAAAGATTGATTTGTTTTCAAAACGAAAAGAAAATTCAAGTTTTTGGAATGAAAAAAGGAATTAATTTCTAAATATTATGATAGGACCATTCTTACCAAAATTTAAAGATAGTATGCAATCAATTTGTACTATTTTCAACAGACGCTGTGAAGGAGTTAATTCTTCCTTACGCGTAACTGATTCTAAGCCTTAAATATAATTTTGCAAACTTTAATTTATTTTTTTTATAAAACCTTTAAATCTTTTTAAATGTTTTTATAAAAAATGAAAAAAAATTTTGAGTAGCTAATCACATCATAAAAAATTGGTAATGAATTTTTTTTTATTGAAAATATTTTTAAACTTCCCTGATTTTTCTCATCCCCCATTTGTTCGATGCACGAATCACTATCCCATTTCCCAAAATATCGTGACAATAGTTGGACTATAAACTAGAAACTTATTTTTTTTCTTTATAGCATTATTTATTATGTTTTTTCCATCATTAATAAGGTCACCATATTCATAAAAGAAATAATACTCACTATGGTGTCCTTTTTCATGCTTAGTATCTGGCACTTTCCTAGACCCTAAAATCCAACCCTAACCACATTAACAATAATGTTCACTCCCTCACCCACTCGTGTCCATTACTTTTCCCTTTCTTATCTTAGCAACAACAATTTCTTCATCTTTATCGCCACTCAAATCTTGAATAAGAATAGAATAAGTAGGATGTCTAGCTTCATTGTCAATTGTCCATTTTCATCATTAATTTATTCTAGTTCTACCTCACTATGAACCTTATTAGGTGATTCATCATTAACAACATTATTAGTTACGTTACGTGGTTAATCAACTACTTTTCAATAACCATACCACCAAAAGAACCTCATTGGCTAGTTCATCAATCACAACATCCCAATTCCCTTCTGTTGATGGTAAACTCTATACTCAAGAACTATTTTAGAGTTATCTACACCATAATCTACACAGATATATACTATACCATTATTTAACATATATCATATCATATCAAGAGTAGTTTTCTCGTCCCAAACTAATCTAAGTCCATCATCAAGTGTTTTACCGGGCTTTAAGTAAGAAATTCTCCTAATGTTCATAAATCCAACATCTTCATAAACACTTAGTAACTCATAAAAACTAACCTTGTAAAGGTCAAACGTCAAGTCTTCAACTATTTCATTTATATACCTCAAATTCGACCTTCACCAACAAATTATCTTTAATAACAAAATTTTATTGTCAATAATTCAAAATTCATATATGTCAAAAACCAAAAAAAAAAAAAAGATTGTTAAACCCTAAAACCAATTCATTCTAAATAAATTAACTATAGACTATTTGTTTCAAAAAAGCTCTTCATGTTCAAAAATAAATTTCATACATCAATAAAAACAATAAAATAACATAATTGAAATCATACATTTGTCAAAACTTGTAAGAAAAAAAAAAAAACTCACCTAAAAATAATAGATACCTAAGTGTTTGACAAATCACACCACTTGATATCTTTATAATCTTGCTTTCAGGAATCACAAATCTGTTTTCCCCTTTTTAATCTTCTTAATATTTCTCTAATTAATCATTTTTTTAAAACCCTAAATACCTTTTTACTTTGTTTTTGATTTTTTGTGTTTTAAAATTTGTTAGTTACATTTTTTAATGACTAATTATAGTTTTAATGTTAAAATACATTTATGCTTTTATTTTATCGGCAACTTGCGCGTGCAACACACAACCATATATAGTCTCTTATTAAATAGGTTTGAAAATGTTTAATCCTACAATGAGTCAAATTAAAAATAATATCTTTAATTAAAAAAGCTCACAAATATTAGATCTTAAATTTATTGTTTAGCTTATTTAATACATCCCTATATTCTTTTTTGTTACATACTGTCGTTGAAGTTTTTATTTATTATAGAACCAAAAAATTTTTATTTGATACATCCTGTACTTGAAGTTCTTATTTGTTACATTCTATAGTTGAGGTTCTTATTTGTTACAATTAGCTCTGGTCTTTGATTTAATTAACTCTTTGAACTAAATTGAGCATTTAACCTAATAAAAAACATCATGACATTTAACGAAAATATTTGGAAAAATTCATCCACCCATATATCTTAATTTTCATTTTTCTTACTTCATTTAATCTCCATGTTCGAATCTGGCCAAACAATAAAAAATCTCCACGTTTGCAAAGAAACTTTGAAACGCCAAAATAAACTTGAACTAGAAGGAAAGCTCACGCTCCGCTGCAGGTTAACTATGTTTTTTATTGATGTAATTTTTTAAATTTTTTTTAAAAAAGTAAGACAATAAATACAAACTGATTTGCATTATAAAGGAATATCTTTGTAAAGCTGTACTTGCTTTCTAATTTTAATCTAAGGCTGACGTCTGTTTGAATACTAAATAGTTTCTTCATGTCATAAATTCCAATCATAACTAAAAATATACAAACAGTATATGTAACTCTAACCTTAATATAATTGATTCTCGATAAGATTAGTAACTAAAGAACACTACAAACATCTCAATGAATCATAAATATTCATATGTCCATGCATAGTTTATGTAAAGGCCAAAGTTCCCCATGCATCAAACCAACTTGCACCTTGTTACACCTAAATTGCCTGGTCAACGACCAACTTGGTCAAGGCTTGGCCAATACAATCATACCCTTGGATCGCTCAAGTAAAGCACGCCTAGAATGTTATGTCACTTGCTCTCAAGGAAATGGCTCTCCTTTTGCCGAGAAAGACTCGCCCAATGTCCCACTAACATGCTGTCAGGACAATTATTTCAAAACTGACCACCTGACATTAAATACAGCCCACGCCTGCCTAGAATTATTAGATACGACTCACATCAATCCATGTTGATCCTTCTCGAATTTCACGTATGTATCCCATCAATTATCAACCACCGTGGTCTTATAACTAACTATCATTCCATACATAAGGCAATCTAGGTACCTAAGACATTCTTATACTTCATACCTAACCCTATCTTCCCTTAAGCTTCACACACACACCTCACCACCTTCCTCTTCCTTCCCTCCTTACTTTACTTGGAATATCTCGCTAACTTGAGCATCGGAATGTATCCCAGAGCAACAACTTCGGCACCCCCTGACTGTATTCTTTGACTGCAGGTTCGGGCTGTCTCCCCTTCAGCCTTGCCTCATCCTCTCCCAGCTAGAACACCCAAAAACACCGTCAATACACCTCATTTTGTTAGATTACAAACACAATTTTATTCTATCTTCATATGATTTGCCCTGCATATAAGAGGTCAAAATTTAATGTAAATAGTATCTTGTTAACTGCAAACAATGGTCAAACTTTGATTTTTTTTTCAAACATACGTGAGCTCTTTTGTAGGTAATTCTTCTAGAAATAAGCCTTGTAGAATGTGGCTAATTCCTGGTGGACTTGGATTTTTTTTTTTTTTTGTAAAATGACCATTAATAAAATGCATTCATAGTTTTTTGTTAACTGAGTTGCAAAAGAGAGAAGTCAAACCTGCCATGTACTCAGCATCAAATCTAAAATAGTAGGACTTGGTTTAAAATGAAAGGATCTGATTGCGCCTTCTCTACAACAGAGAGAAAATGTTGGGTTTGGACATTCCTTTGAGATGTCTGTCCTATCCTTGTACCGCATCCATACTTTACAATAAGGACAAATGCAATTTGGACCCCAAAAGAACAAGATTCATAAATCTTTCCTACAAAAGCAATGTTAAATCATTTTTTGAAAGAAAATAAAACATGCTAACAAAAACTAATAGTCATATTAAAAATAAATTGCAGAAACCAATGGATAAAATTTTTTTCTTAAACATACCCAGTAGAATGGCTTGAATTACTTCCTTGATTTGAAGCTATAGATGTTTGTTTATCATCTGCAAATTTGTTCAACCAAGGTCACTCAATACATTTGATCCTTCTTAGTAATGATTACTGACTGTTTTTTTTTTTTTCATTAAAACAGCGGTTTAGAGCTGACCTGGATGATCTTCTTGGCATATTTGTTATGAGTCACGACTCATAGAGGCCTTATCTAAACAAAAGCCACAGTTTATTTCAACACTGCTTGGTTGAACTTTCGAATCCAATTCGTAAGGGGATCTGACATATGCTGTATAAAGCACAAGCATCGTAGGATCGGGAAAAGCATCAAAGTACAACTGGTTATTTCTGATAGAATTATGAATTAATATAGCCCTATCTGAAGAGATATTGGTTTAATCCCAAAAGAAGCATGGATGATTCATTAATCACACTGCTCTCACTGAATTAGTAACATGAATTGCTTTACTCATTTCAGCTTCATTTTGGTCTTCTTCAAGTTGCCTTGAACATTCATGAATAAAAGGATTGAATATTTGCTTACTCCCAATCAATTGATCTGACCTTATGTATTTCCATTATGACTTAGACCTTGAGAATTTTGCTTCATTTGACACTGTGTATAGACAGAAATCGTCTTCATTGCAAATGTTGTTAGTTCTTTCAATTCGATTTTTTTTTTTCTGTTTTGCATTTTTATCTAACCATTTTGAGCCTTCTAAGCCTATTCATGATAACATGACTAACCTTATCTATAATGATATGCACATAATGTAAAATATATTTATTTGAATTCAAATAATTTGCATGTTAACCCTATTTTTTATTGGTCGTCATTTCTCATCTTATGGCATTTGTAGTTATCAACAAATTGCCAAATAATTAAGATATTATACACATAAAAGTAAACTGACTGAGGAAGAAACAAATTTCTATGTCAATTAGATCTTATAGAAACCTATATGAAAACAACCAAGTACAATGCCTGTATACTAACACAACACAGAAAACAAAATACAAATGATCTTTTTATGCTAAAGCTAAATGGATGTTTATTTACCTTAGAAGTCTTGCTATGCAGCAGCAGTTCATTACCTACTATAAAGGAATTTTTTCATAAAAATGGCTAGTGAAAAATTATAACATGATCTTTCACCTAGGTGTGATAGATAAATTGCATAAACAATCATGCAAACATACATAAAGACATGATGTTTCTACAATGTGTTTCTTTTGTTGCTTTTTTTTTAATAAATGTACAACATTTCTGGTTCATACTGGACAAATGCAGCATTCAACAATTTCATTTGCTACAGAAATATTTCTTTTCCTTTAAAAAAAACCACGTATTTATAGAATACATGGAAATAGCATAAGAAAAACACAAGATAACATAACCTTAATCATTATTAATAGACACAATCATGGAAAAAGCTACAAACCTGAGTTAAAGAAAGCTATCAAAATGATCTAAAGAAATTTAAACAAAATTAAAAGCATTTCAAGCAAGAGCCTTCCCAGCGAAAAAAGGATACGTTGCTAGAGGAGGTATTCAAAGGTCTGTAAACGTCATTTTTCATTGACAGAGGTAAAATGCAACAAATGAACTGCTACCAAGAAAGCAATAAATGGCAATACACCATATTTCTATTTAAAACAGAACTTGAAGAAGGCTAAATCAGAAAACCAATCACATTTCTTTTGTACTAACAGAAGACGGAAACAATTTCAAATGTCTCTTGACATGCTAAGGAAAATTATTGTTTGTTTACCTCAGAAAGCTTGAATACCCAGGCAGTTGCAGCAGTTAACCTACCATAAAGGAATTTTCGCATATTAACGCTTAGTCACTTATAATAATATGATCTATAAACTAAGCCTCACAGGTGTATTACATCAACATTCATGCAAACACGTATAGTCATATAGCAATTAGATAAAATAAAAATATGTTGGTTTAAAATATACAAATAAAAGATGCAAAATCTGGAACTGAATTCTTTTTTTTTTTTTTAAATTCATCTGTTGTAGGCACAAGTCATAGCCTTAATGAAACCAAGGCTTTAAGGGAAACATGGCAATAAGATATGCAGAGCATAGCATGAGACGACCATTCTGGCTATTCACAGGACAATTGTACAATAAGGTGCAAATGATTAGTTCAAGAAGACGGTCAAAAGCTTGTAAATTTTCTACAAAAATATAAGGATTTCGAGCAAGAGAAGCCCCAGTGGAAAGAATGAAAAGATGGCAAGAGAAGATGATGAAAGGTCTGTAAGCATAAATTACGAGTACCAATAAAACAATAAATTTAACTAGTAAATAATGAATATGGGCACAAAACGAAAAATGCTTGTTAATGAAGTCGCAATTCAATCAAAAGTTGACTATTGATTTTCAAAGAGTTGTTACACGTATTAAATTCATCATTCTCGGTAAAATTGAGCACTAATATCTGGATTCATGAGAAATAATAATCACAAACCTGTAATTTCTGAACCTCTAAAGATTTGAAGCATAAATAAACGTTCAAAAGGCTTATCAATGAACAAAATTTTCCTATCGCCTGTAAAAAATAATAATTCCTCCTCAATCCTATAATACTGTATTAAAAAACTTGAGTGAGGCATGAATGGTATATGAAGAGTATTTTACTGAAAGTGCTTAGATTTGGAATGGGTAACAAGTAAAAAGAAAAGAAAATTGAAACCTGATTACAATCTCCACGATTCAAACCCTAGCGTCGGTGGAATATGACAAGTGTTTATTGACTACCAACCCTTGCATATCTTTTTTTTTTTCCCTCCAATATGACAAAGATAGAAGGTGGTTTGGTTGCTTTAAAACTGGTATAAAAAGATAAATGGGTGGTTTTGCAATCTTCCCTTTGAAGGGGAGTTCTTGCAACGGGAAGATGGTGAGCCGATTACATTTTTTAAAAGAAGTTGAAATAAATTAATTTGGGCTTCTGTTTAACCCGTTGCAGACAATTTGAACCAGATGGAAAAAAAAAAAAAAGTTTTGAAAGGTTAAAGATACCTTGACTTATAATTAAAAGATTATTTAAAGCATTTAAAATTTATTTTATTTAATCAAACTTTTAATTTTTTTTTTCGATTCAGTTATAATTTTAATTAGATAAAATTGAATCATATAACAAAATTGAATTAACTAATCCTTAAATTACAATCACATAAACCCTAAAAGAACTTAAAAGAATCTTAGAGAAATAGAGAAAGAAAACAGATTATTTTTTTTAAAATTTTTTATATATTAATTACAACACATGATAATATTTTATTTATTTTATTAACATCGCATAAAATTTTATTTCAATTAGCAAAAAATTAATGATATTAACTTTCTAATCAAAATAAAGATTTAATTAGATTCAAATAAAATATTGAAGAGATTGATTGATTATAATAAAAAATAAAAATTTAAATAATTTTTTAATTATAGTTTAAGAGCTTTTTATATCTTTTAGCTAAAAACTAAAAATTTAATTAAACCCAAATTGCCAAAATTGACGACAGCAAATTACGACAGTTGAATTTCGAAATGGCTAATTAGACCCCCTAAACCCCAAATTAATAGTATGGTATAGATTAAAGTTTACATTTATAAGTCTAAAACAATTGGCAAGATAGACAGGCATCCCAAATAAGGGCCCTGATTGGAAAGGAGAAAAGCCTAATAACTTGATGAACTTGAAGAAAAACAAAGTGGCTATAGAAAAATGCATAGGCATTTTTGCCCCCATACATTTCAGAGCATGAGCATGCAGCAACCAGCCTCAAAATCTGGAAAACGTCCACCTAGACGAAGCTTTCTTCGATCAGGGCACAATGAAAAAACTTGATTGTTCGATGCGTTTGGGAGTCCCAAGTTATCAGCAGCTCACAGCTCCTTGCAATGCTCGAGTAATTGGTTCTTGGAAATATTGGAGTGATATAAGGAGTGCTTCCTGTTTGGTAAAGATATTAACTCACATGTTGATCATATGACTATAAATTAAATTACAAATACAAACTTAGACAAAGAAATCAAGGATACCTCTGTCCGAATTGTTCGACTTCCTTGATGAGGACACGTGTTCAAATACAAGTTGAATATGTCACGGACATTTTTTCCCTGACAGAATACAGAACAACAAAACCAAAGAATAACCGGCTCAGCTGATACACTACAAAATTCAGCTTATTGTGTACCAAAAAGCTCTAGAAATATGCCACAATTGGTTGGCTATTTAAGCTGAAAAAACACAGCCATAAATCTTGACTCAAGCACAAATCGTCATCACGGGCCAATTCCTTGTATCTGGAGAAAATATGAAACAGTAATGTGTATTGGAGAGACAAAACTCAGACTAAGCTTCCTCTAATCACATACCTTTAACTTAAGATCTTCTTCTACACTCTTTTCTAACCCAGAAAGTCCACCAAAAGCTATTAATAAATGCCTGCCAAATTATAATACAATCAAGTCAAGAAGTACCATGGCATGAAACCACTCTATTTTTGGAAGATCAAATATTTCCACGACTGCATACCTATGAAAATTTTGTATTATATTAGCTCAAGGTGGAAAGATGTAGATGTCAGGAATACTACAACACAAAAAGCAATGCAAGGAGGTAAGGAAAAATATGCCTGGCCCTCAGATGTTACTAATTGCTTGTTATTTGTCAAACCAATCACCGAAACAGAAAAATGCCTTCCAACAGTGGCCTCTAAATGGCTGGGTGTCAAGTTGGGGAAGCAACCACTATTAATTTAAAGTATTAATATTATTGCAAAGCCAATTAAGGGGAAAGTAAGTGCATTTTAAGCACATAAATAAAAAGTAAATGTCCAGTTGGAGACTCGCTGTTGTATGCTATGAAATCTTGTTTTACACCCATATTGGCAGGATCCTTTTACAAATATATATAACAGCGAGGCAGGTCCTTGAAATGCTTCTAAACATAGATCATCACTCACCAACACAAAGATTTCAAGTGGAATACATGCCCTGCTCGCGTATACTCCAGGTATTCATTTGTCAAGTATCATCTAGTCCTTATATTTCTATTATATCTAGTGTTCCCCAGATAAGATGTTCATAACATACCATTTGAGCAATCTAGTGTATTAATGTATATGCCTTCAGCACATTATAAGGGACACACTGAAAAAAATAGGATGATGATGATGCATATTAAACACGGTTATCAAATCATTAGTATTTATTAAATATCATATCATTAATACCAACAATCCATGAAACAGTGCCTTAATTGGGCTTGGATCTTGCAATCTAGAAGTTATTCTATAATTATGTATAATCAACATTAAGCAATAGTGACAAAACAGTTAATAAATTTATAAAATAACAAGTTTTACAAACAAAAATAATGAACAAATAGTAAGTCATAATTAAAGGATCTAATATGAACAAAAATGCACCTAAAAGCAGGTAATTTAAGCTGTGATGAACTAACAATTAGTCCATGCTCTGATGTACCAATCAAGTGATCATACCCACCCTGCGACAACATTTTAGAAGCTATCCTTCTGTTAGTGGTAATCCAAAAAAAATGGAAATTAGAAAGGAAGAGGCAGTGAGTTTAAACTATATCATCAAAGTAAGAATACCTTGTATGGGCAATCGGTGAATACTGAACTAATATTGGAAGCATACCGCACTTTATACCCCCAATATGTTCCTGCTTCTTCCCTAGGCTTGGAAAATGAGACAACTTGGCATGGTAATTCTAGAAAAACAATTTATGAACTTAATTTCATCTGCACCAGTGTGGTACTTGTAACCTTACTCAAACTAAAACATGTTGCATCATTTTAAGTCCAAAAGAAACAAAATTTCTAGAATAAGGCTTAGAGAAAGGGTTCATCCAGGAACAAAATCAAGAAAAAAAATTCTTTCATGCATAATTCAAGTCTGACCAGCACTGTTTCATTATTAAACATCCATTAAATGCAAAATAAAACAAATCAAAAACAATCCTCCCATTATGGATGCAGCAAAGGCATGTTAAATTTGCATTGTCTTGTAACAGGCAGGGTAAAGAAAAATCAACTCAATACCTATATATCAAGTTAGGTTTAAATTTTCGGACACTCAATGCAATCGATCAAATTCAGATTAACCATCACATGACTCCAGAAACATAAAATTAGATCAGAATTAATTTATTACCAGAATCCAAGTTGTGGTTAGTTCCCATTGCAACAGTGATTCTTATTCCAGGTTCAAGTACGTGATCAACCACAACATTCTGCATAAAGAACCATGCAGTAACAAGAAAAGAAATTAATTAGCATATCAGTATCACACTCCTGATTTAAAGAACTTATAGTTACCAGTTTAATCTGAATGAGAGAAAAAAATACATTGTAAGTTTAAGTAAAGTCATCATTGAGCTTTATGAATGTAAATTAGACAAAACAAAATTACAGCCTTGTATAGCACAAGTGTGGAAACAAATATGATCTATTCTCATTGCCAGCTTTTATTTGCAAATCTATGTGTAGTGGGTAACAATAGCACAAAAAATCTAGGTAATCCCAATAAATCAATGGCAAGTAACAACGCAGAATAAAATGTTCAGCCAAAGATATTTAATTTCTTAAAAAAAAAAAAAACGCCTATGTTCAAATGAAACAAGAGAAGCATACAGTTTGACGAATTTTTAGCCCAAAGGATCAAAGAAAGACAAAAAAAAAGGCAGAAACCTGCTGCTATTAACAACTATAAGGAGCAAACAAGAAGATATGCACCAAAGTGCCAGCCATATGAGGATCATTATGTGATCACACAAGTTGGATACTATCTTCATTTGTTTTTTTTATTAGAGAGCTTGAGTACTTTATTGGTATTAGTGTACAGGTTATCTTATATGTAGACTTTCTCTCTCTCCCTTTTCCTTGTGTCAATCTGGGTTAATTGACATTTGATTACAAAAAGGAAATTATACAGGCAGCAGGTTCAAGTGAGACACTTCAACAAGAAAGGGCATACCTTATCTAAACATACATCAACCAATTATACAGGCAGCAGGTTCAAGTGAGAGACACTCCAACAAGAAAGGACATACCTTATCTAAGCCTACATCAACCAAAGTTCCCACAGAGCTTGTAGCTCTTTCCTTAAGCGTGACACCTATAAAGTTATCACAATAAATGAAGTCAGATAAAGGATTTAATTCAGTCTCACCATTGATCAAGACACATCTTCAGTTAGGCAAGAGACTGCAAAAATTCACAAAGAAATTGCATATAAAGTTCTTTACAATTGGCAACCTAACCTTACCACATTTTTGTAAAAGCCTGTAACCTCATTTCCATCCTTTACATGTACAAACAATATCAATTTATCACAACATATTTTATATGCCCTACAATACACTTTCAACAAACACAAACCTAGTAGGAAATCTACAACATTGCAGATGTTTTCAAATGACAAAACACGATTGTTCAGGAGTTAAGTTACTTGACAACACCTGAACAATTGAAGGTAAAACATATCAAAATAAATGAATCATTTAGCCCACATTTTCATTGTGTCATCTATCATATGATGTATAACAGAGAATATATCTAAAGGCAGGAACCAAAACTTACCTTCCCGATAAGGAGCCCACTCATGCTTGCGCAGATGATGTGGGGCATCAAGCGGAGGTAACATTCCCTGTAAAATGCAAACAAAAGTAAAATCAACTTTGATATGATTCCAATTAAAGTAAAACAACAACAGCAAAAGAATATCATCTAATCCGCAAATTTGTAAGAACAATACGCACCACAAATCTTAGGGTATTATGCTTAGGGAAAAGAGCTTTTCTTAGATATTGGGGCGTCTCAAGATACTGCAAGATCCTAACAAGAAAAGCTGCTCCTCTTTCATTTTCATTTGACTTATTATTTTGTGTAGTAAAAGCACCACTATTCCCCGGCCTACTCTTATTGTCAAATACTACTACCTGCTTATATAAACCACAAATTTATCAGTCTAATTAACAACTAAGTAGTAATAGGAAATTAGGTAAAAGACCTCATCGATTCGAAAAATTGTTGCAGCACGAGCAATTTGACCTGCCAACTGAAATTAAACAAAAAAAAAGGGGAAAAGCTAAATAAGATAAAATTTTCAAAAAGATGAAAAGAAAATTAGTAAATGAAAACAGAAGTTGCTTACTCGAGTGGCGAGCTCCAGAGATTGAGCATTGTCGATGATGGAACCCGCGATAGCAATGCTTACAGTAGGAATTTCGTCGGCTTTTGCTTCACTGTTCAATTCTTTCTCTGCTTTGATTTTTTTCTTCTTCTTTTTCTTGTGAGAATCGCCGTTGAGGAGACTAAGATTTGTTTGGCTTTCTATTTGGGTGCTTTCATGGATGTTTGATTTGGACTCGGCTTCTGCTTCAGCTTCGGATTCTATTTCGACTTTCTTCTTCTTCTTTCCCATTTCTGAGTCGTATGCTGTGGACGTGAAAAAGTGAAATTACACCGCTCCTTTCCTCTGACAAGGGTTTTGAGGAGTTTTTTTCTTTTATGGGTTTTGAGGGGCATTTGTTCGGAAAATAAAATGTCTATGTATCAAACGGTCAGCAATTGTCGTCCGTAAAAAAGAAACAACGGCCGTAATCCTTCTGCATTTGACCCGTGAATCTATTATCCCCTGCTTTTTTATGATTCCCCTGCTTCGGGCGGGATTTTTTAGCTTGTTATTTGTGAAACGTACAAATTATTTTTATTTTATTTTATTTATATTTAAATAAAAATAAAAATTTATATTATTGAATCATTAAATGTTTAAAATATATGTAAAATATAAATAATATAATTCAGATATTAAATCATAATAAAAGCAAAATTTTTAATTAAAAAGTTGACGAATTTTAATGGATGTTTTTTTTTTTTAAATCGGATGTTTATAAAAATTAGTTAAGAATAATTAAAATAAGTCAGCTTTTTAGGGTTTCGTTATAGGAGATTAGTGTCTTGTTTCATATAAGATAGGTTAGTCTCGGGAAGGCCAGGTATAGGTACATCCTTGAAGAAGTAGTAGTTCTTGTTAGTTTTTTCGCTTTTCTCATTTGTTTGTTACATTGAAGTTATTAGTTTATTTAAAGAGTACAAATCTAGTAATGGGAGAATAATGATCAAATATGGAGGAAGAACTGGATACGATGTGAAAAAACCTGCAGTTGACGAAGGACTAAATAGTTCAAGTGACTAGCGAATCCAACAAAGATGGCTTGGGTACAGAAGAGGGTGGATTGTGGCCGTTGGGGAAACTTTTTACTTCAAAGAGGCCATAAAAGTGTTAGGAATATATGGGTCCAACCTCGCGTAATTGAGTTTTGCCAATCAAAAGTTACGAGCTTTTGATTTTTAATCTAAAATAAAGTCTTAAACAATAAAAGAAGGCGGACTCTATGATAGGCATAAAAAGTGGTGCCGAAGAAAAAAAAAGAAATACTGAAAAAAAAAAAAAAGAAAAAATAAGAGTTAGTGGAATGAAAGTTAATTCGTGATGTGATTTGATTGAGTTAAAATTTTATTAATATTTATAATTTAAAATTTTACATTTTTAATGGTAGAGATCCGGTTTAAAACTCTCTAAAAACAAATCTAGAGTATATTATTGAGTCACTTATTTGATATAATTTCTTTAATAGTCTTTCTAGTTATTAATTAGCTCTAGTTTTAGTTAGAAAAAAATTTTGTATATCTATTATTTGATAGTGAAGATTTTTCTAGTAATATGTGATTTTTTTTTCTTTACATTGAAAGGTTTTTCATGTAAATCTTGACTTACTAAGTGGTATCAGAATAAGGTTATTTTGAGACATCGACATAAAAGTAATTCATGACAAAAGTAAATTTTATTTGAAATTATGGAGGATGATACATGTTCTATGATAAAATTGACAGTATCAAATTATTCAATTTAGAAACCTATGATGGAAGATCATTTATACTGCAAAGATTTATATGAGTTGGTATTGGGTGAAGATTTTTCTAGTAATCTGTGATTTTTTTTCTTTACATTGAAAGGTTTTTCATGTAAATCTTGACTTACTAAGTGGTATCAGAACAAGGGTTATTTTGAGACATCGACACAAAAGTAATCCATGACAAAAGTAAATTCTATTTGAAATTATGAAGGATGATACAGGTTCTATGATAAAATTGATAGTATCAAATTATTCAATTTAGAAACCTATGATGGAAGATCATTTATACTACAAAGATTTATATGAGTTGGTATTGGGTGATTCGACTAAACTAACAGATACGAAAGATGAAAACCAAAAAAAATTAGACAGAAAGACATTGGCTATAATCAAAAAATTGGTTGATATCAAAATATTCTATTATGTAGCACAAGAGACAAATGTCCACACTGTTTGAGAAAAATTAGAATCATTGTATGAGAGAAAAATAAGCATAGATAATGTTATGCTTTTTAAAAAGTTTGCAACTTTATAGTACAGAGATAGACGATCGATTTTTAATGATTTTCAAGATATATTTAATCGAATGACTATTATGGAGTTTAACATGAATGATGAAATGAAGGCGTTATTTCTTTTAGGTTCATTGCCAAACGGCTGAAATTTCTAGTTGTGACTATTCTTAATTCAATTCTTGATTACAAGGTAATATTGGAGATGGCAAAAGATAGTATGCTTAATGAAAAAGTAAGGTGAAAAAATTTAGACCTTAGGAATCAAGTTTTTGTCACAGAAAACAAGGGTAAAAGTATTGACAAAGGTCAAAACTAAAAAGGCCATGTAGACATCCCATTTTGTCCAAAATTTTTTCGAAATCGAAAACAGGTTTAATTGTAAAATTAGGCTCAATTAGGAAGCTTTAAACCTAATAGAAAATTTTTCAATTTTAATTTAATTTATTTATTTTAATTTTACTTATTTAAAAAAAAGTCAAAAGTAAAAAAAAAAAAAAAATGAGGAATTTTAGCTTGATTCATGCAAATCTTGTAAAAGGGAAAACTCAAAATCAAATCACAGATTACAAAATCACAATAAAATCATAATGAATTTGATTTATTTTTCAAATTTAAAAATGATTCAATTCATATAAATAAACAGGAACCACACACAAAGAAGAGGAAGAAAAAAAAATTCTAGGGATCTTAGTTTTCTATTTTTTTTTTTAATTTTGATGAGGAATCATTCAAGCAAATTTTATGATTTTTTTTCTTTAGGTTCTGTGATTTTATTTCTTTCTGAGTTTGATTTGATTTATTTTTTAGATTACTAAATTTGGATTTTAATTTATGAGTTTGTTTTTATATTCTGTTGAGTTTATGAGATTTTACTAAGGTTTTCTGCTGGCTTTCGATTTTGAAATTTTTGTTAGGTTTTCAAGAATCTGAAAAACCTTTTTGGGTTTTTTTTGTGTTTAGGATGAATTTTCTAGTCGAAGTTGGAAGTTTTTGTGTGAACCCATTGACTTGCGTGAAGATTCGTTCTTCAAGCTTTATTCGATTGTAGATTTTCTTTTTTTCTTTCATTCTATTTTTTTGTTTTGATTTTATTTTATTTTACTTTTTCTATTTTATTTACATTTTATTTTTAGATTTTTACTTATTATTATTATTATTTTCATCTTTAATTATTATTTTACTCATTACTTTAAATTGAAGATTTTATTATTTATTTTTTTAAAATGCCCTTATGAATTTCATTTTACTTATTTATTTATTTAAAAATAATAACAAAAAAATGTTTCTAAAATAAATTCATGAATCTTACCAAACTATTAAAATTTTTTCATGAATTTAAATTTTTTATGAATTCTACCAAACTATTGGAGAATCTCATAAATCAATTTTTATAAAAAATTATTACTAATAAAATATTTTGCTTTGATCCTTTCAAATTATTGGAGAGTTTGTATTTTAAATTAAATCTTATCAAACTATTAGAAGATTTAATACATTTTTTGAAAATAAATTGACAAAGAAATCTCATCAAACTATTATGAGATTTGCATCAAAGTAAATCTTATCAAATTATTGGAAGATGTTATTAATTATTTTCTTGAATAAAAATATATTAATGAACCCAATGACAGAGCCTTTTTAAAGTAGGATACTAGTATCCATGAATACTTTTAAGGTGAGAAAATTATCTTAAATTGCTACCAAACTATTGGAGTAAATTTAGGATTAGTTTCCAATAATTAAATGATTTGATAAAATTATAAGAATATTTTAAGGCTTGGATAATTTTAAATTAAATTGGTACCATCATTTGGATGGACACTGTAAGGGTGTTATAACCTTTCTCACTTGTAATCACATTCTCTAACCTAAAATATGATTTCGTGGACTAGAATTTACTATTTAAAGATACCTAAGTCAATATGAGGACTCCTTTTTAAATGAGACAGATTCTGTCAGGTGGCCAATCATACCTAAACAAAAAAGATTGGTGATGACTCTTTTAATCCATGTCTAACGATAGGTCTACGGATCTATATGTTATGATAATTTGACGACTCCATTGGGGAAATCGAAAGTCAGGTCAGTAAATAATTTCTTGTTATTCAAGCCTAACCTAATAAATTTAATATTTTTTCCTTGTTTGTATTATATTTATTTATTTATTCATTTTATATATCTATCATTCACATACACATGCATGACATGAGCTATATACTCAAATTTTATCCTTCAGGAATGAGTAAAATACTTACACTTTTGTGAGATTTTATGTCTTCGCATGGGCTAGCGAAAACCTCTCACTCAAATTAAACATTTTTCACTTGTGGCCTATAATGGGTGAGGATTGGAGTGCATTACTAGCCTATATGGACAATGATACCTTTAAACCTAGCATATAAATATACCCTAAGGGTCTGAACTTAAGTTAGAGCCATGCCTTCCTTTATGTTAGAAAATTCTAAATAAGACATATGATGGGACATTTATTCTACTTGTAAATTTATTTTTCTTTGTATATATTATTTGCATACTAACTCTTTATATTATTTCTTGTATATATCATGTTTACTAACCATTTTCTTTTACTATATATGCATTTATTTACATCATTAAATCCTTTTTATTACATTATTTATGCATACATGCATTCATTCATGCATTATTTCATTTAACTTTTCCATATATTAAAAGATGTGAATGCTTAATTAAAGAGTAATATTTTTTTTTTTAGTTTTTTACGTAGTTGTGAATAAGAATTTTTGTTTTTACTATGTATTGCATATATGCATCCATGTAAACAACGTTGTATGTACATTACTCCATTTGTTTGGGGCAATCTTTGCCTTTCTTGTTTTGTATATAGTTATGAATATGAATTCTTAGCATGTATTACATACATGTATGTAAACATCTTTGTATATACATTATTTTATTTGTTTAGGAAAATCTTTGCTTTTTCAATTTTGTACATAGTTTTGGATATGAATTTTTTTTATTTATGTATTTTATACATGTATTTGCATATACATCCATGTAAAAATCTTTGTATGTACGTTATTTCATTTGTTTGGGAAAATCTTTGTCGTTTCAATTTTGTACATAGTTTTAAATATGAATTCTTGCTATTACTTTGTATTGCATATATGTATTTACATATACATTTTTGTATG